TGCCTTCTGAATATAAGTTCCCTATCAATTGAATGCCCCCAAAAAATAATACCGTATCTTATAATAGAGGCGACCAATCCATGATAGGCCGTAAGAAGTGTATTAGTATCAACTTTCTTGGCTAATTGGAATAAAAGATATGCAGACTTACTGAGACGCGTGCATATTTCATTTAAGTGAGGTCTCCAAGTTAATTTATTATCTATGGTAATGCCTAAGAATTTCGCACTTGTAACTTCCTCCACTATACAGTTATTATAAGTTACATTAAACGGTAAGTGTTTACGACGCTGGTGGAAATGTACAACTTTTGTTTTATTTAAATTAATTATAAGATTATTAATGTCAAGCCAATTTATAATGTCATTCAATGAATTATTTATGTCATTTTGATAATTATTATAATTATTACATTCCACAATAACAGTGCTGTCATCTGCAAACAACACCATTTTGTGATCTATAGTTTTGGGGAGATCATTAATATAAATTAAGAAAAGTAGTGGCCCCAGGACGCTGCCTTGTGGTACACCATATCTTGTAAACCTTGGTTTAGATAAATATTTTTTCTCTAATTTAGTAGCAGGGCATATTCTGGTGATTTCTGTACATTGAGATCGGTTACTCAGATACGATTCTATGAGTTTCAGAATATTACCTCTCACTCCATACCCCTGTAATTTTTGCAGCAGAATTTTATGATTAACAAAATCAAACGCTTTTGTCATATCAGTCAATATAGCACAAACAGGATTTCGTTTATCTATGGATGCCATTACGTTAGAGATGAAGTCGAACAAGGCCATATTAATATTTGTATTTTTTCTAAATCCTTTCTGTTCATTGCAGAAAAGATTGAATTTTTCAAAATATGAATATATAGAATTATAAACTACCTTCTCAATAATTTTAGAAAATACAGATATCTTTGCAATAGGCCTATAGTTTTGAAGGCAAGTTTTGTAATTTTTTTTATAAAGGGGTTTAATAATAACTTTTTTCAGACCTGTTGGAAATAAACCGTCTGAAATGCAAAGATTTATTATATGAGCCAACACAGGAGCAATAATATCTTTTATATGTTTTACTACCTTAGTTGATATATTATCGGCACCGACGGTATTTGTATTTTTTAGACTGCTAATTATTTTAATAATATCGTAATTACAGACCGGTGACATAAATAACGACTGTGAATTCGAATTTTGAATAATGTAGTTACGGGTTGATGTTCCTTTAGTTTTTATATTATTTTCAATGATATCCACAAAATAGTCATTAAATTCATTTGCTATGATCGCCGGATCCGTAATAAGTACATTATCCTTCTCAATTGAAAGTATTGGCTCTTGGGGTAAGTTGAAATTTGGAACAAGGGTAGATTATGGTCTGTAATAACACATAGGCTACGTTCTATCCCAAGGGAATGCTGGCAAAGCAGCTGGCTCAAAATAAATGTATTGTACACTTATATTAAGATCAATGTGATGTATTAGTAAATAAACCACAAATGTAAGACTGTATTTGTCCGCAACTAATACCAATCTGTGCTTCTATAGTTTTGTCATCACTCAGAACTGTCAGTAAATGGAATGAGTAAAAGTACGAAGTTATTATTACAAACATTTCAATCTTAGTCAAAGTACAGCGTGTCATACCTTTACCCTTTATGTGATGTTAGATTGAGAAACTTAAAACTGTACAACATAAAAACAGGTACAGATAATGGATGAATAATCCTGTACTTATTGTAAATACGATAAATAAAAAGAAAAAGAAGATATGTACCTATTTTTATGTTCAGAGACAAATAGAAAATTCCTCCCATTACTGAAAACTTTCCAATTGGCATTCCATAGTCTCTGCCTACCCCCATAAGACACAAATGTAAGATTATGTACTTATGTATGTGTACTGAAAACTACAATAAAATTTAAACATAGTACATCTGGAAAATGACTTTATAATTTCAATTGTTCTCTAATGGTTTGTCAACAGCTAAATGTATCGGAGCACGGAGAAGATGGTGGTATTTGCGAGGTCTGCATCACGCAGCTGCGCAACGCCATCAACTTCAAGAAGCAAGTGCAACACACTGAGGAACAATTTAAGAAACATTTGCAGAATAAGGCATTGTTTAGACGTGAGTTCTACCCTAAATTGTAATGAGAAGTATATGAAAGCCTGAAATTAAAATTTTTATTTTACTTTATATCGTCTAATGGCTTTACTGTTTAACGGAGTAATTGAAATAGTTTCAAGCCACAATTGTAGGTCATAATCATATTTAACTCGTCGAGTACCGTCATTATAGACACAATTATAGAACAATAGGTTGCGGTTACCGGTGACCGCTTGGTGTTTGACAGTTTAAACAGCATGCGTGGCCAGACCATAGACGCGGCTTGCGTTGCGCCACCAACTGAATCGAGCAAGACAGTAAAATCCTCTTCATGTAGCAGATATCCGTAGGCTAGCAGAGAATTTCCTAACTGCAGAGTCCCCAAGGGGTCACCGGTGACCACTCTCCAATTACACAATTATAGAACTTATTTCTGATGTTCAGACTTTTTTTAATGGAATAAGCGGGTAAACAAGCAAATGGATCATCTGATGGTTAGCAATCTACACCGGCCATGGACACCTGGAACACCAGAAGCTTTACAAGTCCGTTACCGACCTTATGGGAATTGGGGATTCAGGGATTGGGAAAGGAGGGGGGAGCTTAATTGGGCCTCCGGTAACCTCACTCACACGAAGAAACATAACGCAAGTATTGTTTCACGTCAGTTTTTTGTGAGGTCGTGGTGTCACTCCGGTCGAGCCGGCCCATTCGTGCCGAAGCATGGCATGGCGAGCCCACGTTTTGCATGAACAATGTTGTAGGTACACAGAGTCTGTATTTCCTGAAGGGTATAATCTGGCAGTCTTCAAGGCCCGAGTGAATAGGTTGCTTATGGGACGACGTACTCCATCGTAGACCGCATCATCGGTTACCACCAGGCGAGATAGTGGTCAAACGTCGCCCCATCAAATATAAAAAACACAAGCTTGTTAATTTATTGTATAATTCATTTTTGACAGCCACAGTGTTTAAAGAAACCGGGCACGCTATGTTAACGCAAGAATGCTAGATCTAATTGATAAAATTATTTTATCTAAGATAATATTATATTTCTATTTGTGCAGCGAATATTGTGAAGGTGGAAGTTGGAGGTGAAGAAGACTCGGACGGTGATAACATGGGCTCCGGTGATGATGCGTTCTCTGGTGCTGGTGAGTTTGCAATCATCATGTTATTTTCTTCATAGAAACTCTAAATATAATAAACTAGCTTCTGCCCGCGACTTCGTGCGCGTACTCCAGTTTTTCCCGTTTGTGATTTTAGGTAAAACGTAAAAAATAATGTTGGATAAAAAGTACCTATCCTATGTCCATCTCCTGATTCTAATCTACCTCCCCACCAATATTCATCTAAATCAATTCAGCTGTTCTTGACTTATAAATAGTGTAACTAACACGACTTTCTTTTATATATATATAAGATTTAAATAGGTAGTGGGTAAATTACATTTGGGAGTTGAAGCCACAGTGGTTTCTTTTTTCATCCAACCCTCTATAACTTAACAAAATATTCCTTTTGCTACTAAATGCTCTCATTTTAAAGGTGATTAAACTGCCTTTCATACCACATACAATACCAATTGGGTAGTTTCCAGGGTATTAAAAATCTAATTAGTCCGTCAGTAAGATAATGAAAAAATATAAGACACGTATTTTTTCATTTCTCGTATTAAGTTGCAATACTTAGATAAAATGGCGCTAAGTTTAGGAGTGGGAGATTGTTACGTCATAACGTGCTACAAAATGTGGCACGCTGTGACGTCACACGATATTTTAAATTAATATATCGTCGAAAGTATTTAATTATGTGAGAAAAGAAAAAAATACTTATCTAAAATTTTAAATTAATCTACCAGACGGGCATTGAAATAAAATATAGGAAACTACCCTATTAATAAAATATGTACTTGTATCAGACAATATTTATCAAGAAAATAAAAAATGCTAATGAGTCCGTATCTTTGCTGTCAAGCGTATCTTCATGTACTTCCTGATGTTTCAAGAGTGTGTTAGGATTGAAGCTGGTTAAGCCCTTTCTTTATTAGGTTTATTAGATTCTTTATTAGTATATTATACTATCGGAACTCGTAACTTTGTCTGCGTTTTTCTAAAGTAAAAGTAGCCTGTTACTCCTTAGTATCTATATTAGCTACCTGTTAATAACATTCCCGGCAAATTCGGTCTAGTCATTCCATAGAATAGCCCGTACAGACAGACGGTTATTCGGTTTATGGATCATATGCATGTAGTCAAACACGGTTATTTCAATATTAGAAACAGACACTCCAATTTTATTTATCGATATAAATATGTTGCAATGAATATAATGTTTAGACCTATTGTTAGAAATAGTCTAATAAGTGCTTTTTTATGTCTAATAAGGCCACTGAGAACTATAACTCTATGAGCGTAATGAGAACTAAGGTCTAGTGGCCAATAGAAAATTTGCCAATGTCAATCTTTTTGACAGCTACTTCGATTGTACAAACAGGACCTTATGCTCTAGTTCAGCACCAAGTTCGCCCTAAGTTCCCATTAGAGACGATTAGGATATTGTGGTATCTGTATCTTATTTAAAAATATTTCTTCTAGAATTCGATGTACCAATAAAAACTGAAGAAGATGATCCCAAACCGAAGAAGCGGTCTAAGGCTTCGGCTACAACGACGCGCTCCAAAAAATCTAAATCTGATGATGGGGAACCGTCAACTAAACGTAAGTTTTTATTTATAAGTTTTATTAGTGGCTTTGGTCGAGTGTGCACACGACTTTAGGGGATATTTTTGATGTTTAGATGTTGTAGTTTGTGTTTTTTACGTATTTTTCATACAGGTTCGGTTTTAAGTTCTTTGAAGGTATTTGTAGTGTTAATAGTGTATAATGGGTTTAACCTGGTTTTGCAATTTATGGTGTTGTTATTATACTATGGTCGTAATGAAAGAAGTTTGTCAAGATTAACAAATATTGAATTGATAGAGTGTAAGCTGGAAGTGATAAACACAAAGGTCGGATTTACGAAGAATTAGATATTACATTTACTGTGAAGGACTAACATTCTATAATATAAAAGTGAAATGAAAGTTTGGCTGATCCAAATCATCAACAGCCTGTTCTAATCCACTTGTGGCGACACATGTCAAATGTCAGTTCACGCACATGGACAAGCAATGAAACAAATTCAACGGATGACGTCACAAAACCCTACATCGCACATGGGAAGTTTACATGCGAATTATAACGGATAGAAATTCCCAAAGGACAACTGTCGGGCAGACGGCCCGCCAGGTACGGTCACCTCGCCTGGTCGGAGGATCATAGGGAACTATACTCTCTGTTCCCTGAACACTGTTGGACATAGGCCTCTCCAATGGCACGTCACTGAGCTTGATCTTCAGCTCTACGCATCCAACCACTGCCAGCCACTTTGCGGATATCGTCACTCCACCTAGCTGGTGGGCGCCCTACACTACGTTTGCTTAGACGTGGTCTCTACTCCAGAACACCACCCCAACGGTCATCGGCTGAACTAAACGGTCAATCACGATTACTAAGAACTTAATCAGTCTGATTGTGACTACTAACAGTGCGACTTCGTCAAAACGCCAAACTGTACTTGGAAGACAAACAGGGAAGGAATAAGAGAAAGTACTGCTAAGGAGTGGAATTCTTTGCCAGAGTCTGTATTTCCTAAAAGAACCTGGGTGTCTTCGAGGCCCGAGTGAATAGTTGCTTATGGGTAGACGTGCTCCATCATAGGTAACATCAATGTCTACCACCAGGCGAGATAGTGGTCAAACGTCAGTCCCATCTAATATAAAAATATATATAGAAAAGAGAAAGTATATAACATATGTATTATCTGCCACAAGATTTGAATAAAGACTCATGTGATATTACAAACATAATTTGAAAGAAACAGCGTTATCTTCATCATTGGCCTGTAACTGTCCCACTACTGAGCAAAGGCCTCTTCTTACACGGATAAGGAATAAGCCAAGGACAATGAAAAAAAAGGCGTACACAATCTCTTGAAACAACGACTGTGGCACTTTGCAGCCTTTAGCCAAACGTCACGCCATTAGCGCTTGTATACAGAGAGAGTAGAAAACTAAATGTATGAGGATGACACTGACAAGTTTCAAAATTTACTTCAATTTCATATAATTTGGTTTTGTATTCTACATGTAGACAAGCGCTAAATGGCATTTGGCTACAGCTGCTGGCTACTATAGACTTACACGCAGAACATATAAACATTGCACGAAGGACATCTGTCGTTTTCTTAATTAGTCTGGTAACGTGGTAACGCATTACTCGCGCACACATAAATAAACCGCTGACATCGGTGCTTCAATCATTTTTAAGTGACATTTTGTTCGCCTATTTTCAACGATCCTGGAAAAAGCAAATCAGGCTTGAAAAGCTGAACCTCCGCGCCACAACGACCTTTTTTACGCGAGTGTTTTAGAAGTTGGAAATATTCATATTGCGTTGGACTAGATGGCGCTAGTGGTGTTTTTAATCATGTAAAATTTATGCTATTTTGCTGGAACTTGATATGGATATTGTATTCAATTTGATATCGTATAATATTGTTTGCACACTCGACCAAATGTTTCACCTTTTTTTTAATGAGTTTAAGTAGCTGTTTATACGTGCCATATTATTTAAATAATATGTCTATAGATGCATGCTTGAATATATCTAGATTTTGCGTAGGCAATTCCCGAAATGCCCTTTTAAGGCTCTCGAGAGCACGCGCTTCGGGCAGTCAGTGTAAGTGGTACTTTGTCTGCCAGACAGTCACACAGTCACCAGTGGTGTCACTCTGGCGACTTATTAATTATATTTTCATTTAATCCCGAAACGAGTGACTGAGGGATTTCTTCTTGGTATTTCTCCAGTAAAATTTACACTTTTGAAATCAGTAACGAGCTTCATTAACACCTTGAACGCCATGGGGGACAAGGTATGGGCCACGCTAGCGAAGGATTTACCCTCAACAGTTTTCTGTCGGCAGTCGAAAGGTTTAAATGACCCGTGATTCCTGTTTCAACCGATTTAAAAAAAAAAGGAAAAGGTTCTCAATTCGACTGTATGGCGTTGTGGCACCGACTTATCACTTATCAGTGGGTGTGTAAGCTATAAGTACATATGTATGACCAATAATAGTTATTTTGGCTTTTTAGTTTTCACTTTTCGTTTGTTTTTGAAGTAGGTTTTTTAAACGCAGTTTTTTTTTTATACCTTTTTATAAAAGCAATAAGTTTGATTGCCATTTTATTCTTCGCTATTTCGGTGAAAACTTATTTACTTTTTATCGGAACAGATAAACAGCTACTTAAACGGCATTCTTGTCTATACCTTTTTTTAAGTGTAGCGGTATTGTTAAGTTGAGCAGTGTTAAAAATCATATCCAAGATTTGAATTAGGGTTTTTATATTTCAGCTTCGACTACGACTGTATTGTGGGTTCGATTCTCACATTTTTTCCTCCTGGCATGTTTATTACTGATATACAGTGAAGGAAAACATCGTGAGGAAACCTGGACTTATAATAATTTCTAAGTTTGAATTCGCCAACACGTATTAAGCAAACGTGGTGATGACTGATGAATGCTCAAACATTCTCCGTGTGAGAAGAGGCATTTGGTCAGCAGTGACCACTTATAGGCTTATGATAATGATCATGATGATGTGTCCTAGTTCCTTCTAAGTTGGGTTCATTCAGTCTTAAACTAGATATACGTTCTTAATTTTTGTTACGAGTAGGTAATGATTGATTTCTGGTTAGTTCTTCTCCATACGAAGTTTCATTTTGGATCACGCACCTAGCTTTACTGACAGACTGACTGACGAACTAGTTTTGACGTTCAAATAGTACAACACAAAGATAACATCGCGCCTTTTATCACCGAAGGGGTAGGTGGAGGTGCACATTACGGCACTTAATGCCACTGTACAATGTAACGCCCACTTTTCACTATTTATGTTATGAGTCCCATTTTCATATACCGGGCGCATTGTTTCCAAAATGAACATAATCAGTGATCGACTTTCAATATTACTCTAAAGTTTATAGGAAGACACCTAATTAGGACGAATTGAGGTATGCGAGAGGTGATACAAAGTCAAAGTCAAAATCATTTATTTCAATTATACCAAAAAGGCACTTTTGAACGTCAATAAAAAATTAAAAGTGGCGCTTTGCTCATTCCAAGGTGTAGATTTCCATGGAGAAGAACGACCAAGAAACTCCATAGGTTACTCTTTTTCAATCAGGTTCACAATACAAGTCTCTAGTTACATAGAGCGAGAACAATGTAACACTAAAATCCAGCCAAAGAGATTGAAAAAAAAGTACTTAACCTTAAAGGACAATAAGTAATACAGTCTGGAGCTGACCAGTCCCAGTTGACGGCGCCCCTTCACGAACATGACACGTACACCAAACATTTATAATATACTTAAGGGTTCAAATAAGGTAAGTTAAACAAAACAACGCAATAAAACATTGATTTTAAACAAATAATGTACTTGGATATTGTCAGCTAGCTTTTAAGCAAATTCAAACCTTCTCAACTTTGCAATACTGTTTATGTTCGCATGTGTGTTAGTTATAAGATATTTTGACCATATAACTTTTAAATTAAACATTCGCGATACATTTTTTCTGCAAATTACTTGAGAAATTAATACGTATTTGTTCCTATTTTGTACACAATCCCAGCTTAACAACTGTCAAATAGGTTTAATCTATTTTCGACTTTATTCCTTTGTGATAAGATTGCAAATTTTATTAAATGTATTTGACAGTTCAAATGGATGGATGTGCTACTAAATTTTAACTATTCATGTTAATTCTCTTGCCTCTATATGGGATCTCTATAAATATAATTTTAATTCTTATGCCCTCAAATTTCCATGCATATCGTCGAGGATAGTGCAAATCCGCGAATCTACCATACGTAAAGGCCGCGTATTGGGCCGTTCAAGTATTATGTAAGCACCACGGGGGTAGGGGGAGGGTCTCTGTTTTGCTTATTTTTGATCATATGGGGGGTAGTCTAGATGATTAAGTCATCGGTAGTTATTTACTTTTTTACACGACTGGCAACCCTCATATTGACGTTATAAATTACAAGCAAAGACCGATGTAGATCCTGGCTTACAGGAGTAGCAGCGGTTTTGGGAGGTTGTGGCGGGCTTGTCCCATTAAACAAGCAAAGACCGACGAAGAACTAGACATTATGGTATCTAACCACTCTGACGTCCGTGGATAGTACGGTATCCAAGAAAAAAGTAGCGTCATACGCCCATGTATACTATACCTCGTGTGTTCATAAGTTTTGGGACAAATTAAAAGTTGCATATCTTTTTAAATAATAAACTTATATTTATAAAAACAATAACAAACATGAAGTAGATAGTAAGTAAACATTAAATATAATTATTATTCAAAATTACCACCCCTGTTTTTAATACATGCCCTTAGACGATTTGGCCAGTCATCAATGGCGGCACGAATCTTTTCCAGAGGAATTCGCTTCGCTTCTCGGACGAGAGCTCGCTTAAGTGACTCCAAGTTTGGGTGGGACTTTCGGCAGGCTCTGAGCTCTAATTCGGTCCATAGAGAATAATCCAGCGGGTTGAGGTCGGGGCTGGAGGAGGGCCATTCGTTCGCCGCAATGAAGGCACATTTTCCTTCAGCCAAGC